CTGGGCGTCGCGGCCCACTTGTGGGCACGCGAAATGCAAGCGCGAGCGGTGATGTCCGAGCAGCACAGGCCCCACGTGGACGCGAAATGGGGGCGATTACAGCCACGAGCGTTCGTCTGGACGTCTAGGCGCTAGCAGTAGCGTAATTTTTTTCCTAAACTTGGGTATAGGATAGTCAATTAGCACTTTATTATAAACGGACGAAAACAAATAATATCACGACTTATTTGGTGTACCGATTCTATTCAGAACTATTTTGAGAAATATCATTCAAGAACTGTATAGCACTGGGAGACAATTTAGGATTTGTCTCAACTGTACAAGGCCCATAAAGCTAATGACGCCGGGCCGATCCAGTTTGATTCTTCGGCTACCAAGCCAGTCCACCGTGAGTGGAGGACTGCAGCGAAACTTAGGCCAACTCACACCGGCTCTGGCAGTCTGGCTTCTCACACCGGACTGCAGAGAACATAGAAGTCGCTATAGCAATAGTCGTTTGCTCAGTAAGCTGGAACATATGTAATCACTGTGTGCCATCACTGCCGGTTATGGCCGGTGAAGCCGTAGTAAGAAGTATATCACTGTTCACCTTCGGGTGGGTTCAACCGATCCGGCATGGTAGATTATTGGAGCCACGAACCGGTAGTGATAACCTGTTTTAAAAAAAAAATGTAATTTTTTATATGATATCGGATTAAGATAAACCTATATTAAAATTGTAGAGTTCAAAGAGATCTAAAATTTTGTGGTTTACAACTTCTGATTTAAGACGGTTTACAAGTCCAAATATGCAATATAAGTTCTCATAACAGATTTGAGACGATTAACAATGTTAAATAGAAATGAAGTCAACCTCAAAGTTGTACTCGACGAGATCTACAATTTTGCAGCTAACAACTTTTTCATTTAAGATAATTTTGAGTGTCAAATATATAATATAAGATTCAAAATTGTGTAGTTAAAAAGATAGAGCTAGCTATATAATCACATTTGTTGCATAGCTCAACTGATATGTGCGCTCGAGGGGACGTTTACGTTGAGAAGATCTGAGTCCGAATTTTGAGGAACACATATTTTTTTATTTTTTACCAATTATCATTGTTGGTTCTTGACCTGGTAGTGATCGATGAGGCATCACTGTTGATTGCCCACTGTTGGAGCCAAATCGGGCACTGATAGTTGTCGATTCTTGACCCGACAGTGATGAGGCTGCCCCATCACTGTCGATTGCCCAATGTCGGTGCCAAATCCGACAATGATAGGGGATTTCGACCCAGCAGTGATTATGAAATGTGGCGTAGTCACTTGCGTTGACATTAGATTTGGCCAACATAGGCTAGATAGCTCAAGGCCGCAAACAGTCTAGAAAACTAGATACATAGTGCAAGGAGGTCTAAGTGATACGGCCAATTCATTGCTCATTCTTCAGCCCTCACGAACACTTCCCTAAAAGACCTATTGGAGAGATGCACAGTGAGGTGCCCAAGCATAAGCAATGCACCTAGAAGTTAAGAATGGGGGCAAATCTCATCGCGAGAAGTGATGGACAAGGGTGTTGGAAGAGCTTGATGATGTAGAACCTAGAAAGTATAGATAGGTATGCTTTTGAGTATTGGATAGATGGATTTCTCAGTCGGGCATGATTCACTCATATAAATAGTGGGGTAATCTTGTTTTACTAGGGAACTTATTCCACATATGTTGGTATTTCTTATGCTCACGTAGAGAATTCCGTAAGCACACAGAATATATTGTTGTAGCGCTTCACTCAAGAGTATTCCAAGATATCGTTATCTATTTTATCGTTATTTGTTTTATCGTCACTTTCGTCGCTCAGTTTTAGCCTATGACACTGTCATCTGCCACCTTAAATGATGGTCTCAACGTCACCCTTATACACTAGTACCAAATATTTGGAGACACCAAATTTTTTTCGTGGTCTTGGTGACTTGCCGGTCACCCTTAATCCACGTTGAGGTGGGTTGAATATTCCTCTTTCATCCGTCAAGCCTTACAATCCTGCAAGCTTGCCTCACACTACCCGAACACTTGATCTCTAAGCCGGTAGAACTCAAGAACCACCCCACGCCCTGTATTCACTAAAATTGCTCTTTGCCTTCCTCTAGTGGGGATGAGCAGAAGAGCCCCTCACAGACTCCTTGTGCTTCTACAAAGCCGATCTCTAAACCATCTAGAGGTGAAAATATCCAAAAGTAACAAGCAAATCTATTTACAAATCAATCACCTAGCATGACTCGATTAATATCTCGATGCAACGTACTAAAAATGCTCACCCACTCTCCAAGTTATGCTTATCTGGCAAATGTACGAGAGGGAAGGTAGAAATAAGGCTCTCACGGTCTCACCTGCAAGTTCTGATTTGCTATTGAATTCCACAAGTTCGTTAACAATGCATGGACCAAGCATTGGTTTTGTATTGTTAAATCTTGCGTCACAAAGTCACAATCAGTTGGGAACTAGTGGGATCTACAAGTACTTGGGCGTATATTTTTCTCCGCAGCCGGTAGTTGCATTGCATCACGGAGACGGACAAGACAAGCATGTGCCCCGCTCGCCGGATCCAGAAGACATCCATGCTGCCGTCCAATCTCATGTAAAGAACCTTCCTTCCATGTTCCATGTCGTCTCCAACATGCGCTTATTCCCCTCCCCGGCTCCTTCTCCAATCTCCACTCCGCACCCTCCCTCCCAGTCAAAAAGTCCAATTCCCTGACCCTCGACCGCCGCTTCCCTTACAAAAGCCTCACCAATCCATCCATAATCCATCGTCCTGGTCCCTTCCACCACGCGCTAACGACTAGCCGCCAGCCGGCCTCTCTCCCCACTTTCTCCTCGCTCCGATCCCCTTTCTCTTGAGACCGACCAGGACCAGCCATGGACATGGATCCCCCGGCCGCCGCCGCCACCACGAGCCAGCAGCCGCCCTCACCGCCGGGCTTCTTGACGTTCCTGAAGCACGGCGCCGTCCTCCCGGCCCGGAACGGCGCGCTCTTCGCCCCGCTGCTGGTCCTCACGGCGGCCCTCGCCGCGGCGCTGCTCCTCGGCAACGCCCTCTCCGTGCAGCCGCTGGCGGCCGCCGTGCTTCTCGACGCGGACGCCATCAGCCGCGTGGACCCGGCCACCGCCGCGTACCGGGACCTCGTGAGGGCCCTCCAGTCCGACCTCCGGCGCCTGCTGCTCGCCATCGGAGCCTGCCTCCTGGGCGCCGTGGTGGCCGGGTCCGCCATCAAGATCGCCACCGTCTTCGCCGCCGTCGCCGCCTTCTCCGCCGCCGCCGCCGACGGCGACGGGCGCGCCGCCACCGTGTCCGCGGCGCTCGGCGCGGCGAAGGGCAACATCTGGGGCCCCATACTGACCGTCGCGTTCGGATACGTCCTGGAGCTGGCCTGCGCCGCCGCCATCGTTGCCCTGGCCGTGCTCGCGGTGGTCCTCCTCGACTACTCCCTCCTGCTCCTCTTCCTCGACGTGCTGCTGGCGCTCCTGGCCGCCCTCTTCCTCGTCTACCTCACCGTCGTCTGCGCCGTGGCCGTGGCCGTGTCCGCGGCGGAGCCCGGGCGGCGCGGCGCCGGCGCGGTGGGGCGCGCGTGGCGGCTCATGCGGGGCCGGGGCGCGCAGGCCGTGGTGTACGTGGTCGCCACGTGCGCGCTCGGCGCCGCGGTGTCGCCCGTGTACACGCTCGCGCTCAGCTGGTGGCCCCGCAGCGCCGCCGCCGGGGTGGCCGCGGGCGTCGCCTACGTGCTGCTGCTCGGCGCCGTGGAGGTGTTCTCCGTCGCCGCCGTCACCGCCTACTACTTCGAGTGCAGGGAGAGCGTGGAGGAGGTGGAGGAGATCATGGCGGGCCATAGGTACATCAAGCTGCCCAATGAGGACGAAGCCGCCAACATCTGACTAAATCATTTTCTTGTTCTTGTGGATGGAAAATTCTTTCGACGATTGTATCTGCCAGGCACACTGATGTTAGTAGTATTACTGTTTGGGTAATTGATTGTTGATTGAAAAGGTAGAACCAGAATATATAGCATATGAATTGACAAATTACAGATTGCATTTTTCCGGTGCCATTCTGCGTACACAGGTTTCATCTACAACATCTCGCGAACTGGAATCTCTGAATATTGGAACGAGTATTACCGCAAAATCTTCCATTCCTATGCAGATAGGAGCTAAAATCGGCAGAAGAGAGCTTATGCACTCAAAAACATGAGGCAGCTAGTGCAATTACCACAAAGCAGATAAGAGTACCCTGCAAGTTGCTGATGAGGAGTCATGCCACAGATTGATGGAGCAGTGGTTTTAGGCAGGGCAATAAAGAAAGCCGCTGGCTGACGGTTTCTTGTCACACCATATACAACGGCGTGATAATAATACTGATGAAATATGAACTCAAATCACTCTCAAAAAGGCATCGCGAAAATCGCGGCAAAAATTCTACGGTACCTTTGATTCTTTCTTCACGTTCACGGGAACGAACGCGCTGCGAATATGCCTGACGACTAGTACCAACGGCACGGCACGCAGCAGGAAAGAATGCGATTCGACGGACCACTGAATCTGAAAAGCATAGCATGTCGTTTTCAGAGACTGTCAAAATAAGGCGGCCGGTTTTAAATACCGTGGAATCATGGTTCTCCAGTTTCCCGTGGAGCAAAGGATGAACATGATTCCACTAATCCATCATAGGTTGCTATCAGCTAAGACGATGAGAGTCCAGAACAGGCTCAGCTCCGACCTGTATTTCGCCAATCAGATCACTTTGATGACATTTCTGCACCCTTTTACGTGTGCTCAACAGCTACTTTCCAACTTTTACTCCGAGAGTTAAAGAATGAACACACAAAAAAAACTGGGGTTCAGGAAAAATTTTCGGGCATGAACGTCGATCTGCTATAGAAATTTCATGGCCTAGAAAATTCTATTCTGCTCACGGGTACATCGCTAGTACTCATGGCATGTGCACCTTCATGTTCACGGCATAGGAGTCAGATGGTTAGAATTTCTCCCACATGAAAACCCATTGACCTCCCTCCAATCATGCCTTGCAAGCTCTTACCCGCATGTTTCTTGCACATGTAGGAAATCACAAGGTAAGAGATCTTCCGCATTATCTAAAATACATACATGACTCTGATCGTACGTAGTAATGCCAACTGGGCACAGTCACATGCCCACACTGGGAAGACCCCCTTCTTTCTTTTTTCTGTAGCAATTGCTTATTTTGCTAACTGAACAATTTGATTATATTATGTATTTAACTGACATCATGCAGCATATGCTGCGATGAATAATTGTCACACACTAAAAAAATTCATGGCTAAGCAGTTACATAGAAGTTTTACACTCTGGCTAACCATGTGATTTTCTAATACATGAGAATACCAATGGAATGCTTATCAGATGCTTTAGCTACTACTACTATGATGTGAATTCTCCAGGCATTTTGCATGCTAAAACCAAGCTTTACATTCAGAGGACACATGGCCAAATAGTAACAACCTTACCAGAGAGCATGGTTTTCATGTGACATCTAATTTACTTCTCATCTCATGGTCCAGAGTTATTCTTAATTCATTGCTCTTCTCAAATAAATTACTATCACATAATTCATGATGTCAATTGCATCAAATGTGTTTGGTACAGAAAAAAATAACCAATATATAAGACAAACAATACATGTTAAATGGAACCAAAACTTCACACTATACTCCTCTGAATAACAAAAGATAATCGACCACGGAAATAGAATTCACACTGCTATCTGACCTTCTTCAAGAACTGCACCTTCTCAAACTCTGGACTGGCATAGCTCTTCTCCACCTCCCATGCATGATGAGACATCATGTTGAATGACGATTTTACCCCCTTCTCATCAGAGACCTCCCTTGAAAAAGGGATCCGAACAGCAAAGACACCTTCCCCAGAATGAACATGAAAATCGAAACCTAGCCTGTCAACCCATATCATATTCACATCTGCCACCTGTCACCACAGGACAATATGAATTCCTGAGATGCAAATCTGACTACAGACCATGTACTCTGTTTGGAAAAGCAGGGCTGCTCTAGACATTTTGTGAACTTTGTTCAAATTGAACCAAATGCCAAGGATTTGGATCCTGATCCCCTCTATCCAAAACATGCACTAAAAATAAAATTCTCATAAGACAGCATAAGGGATTATTGTGAGCTGTTGATAATAGCCAGTCATCCAACTTTCGGATTGAAAAAGTACATACATTTCACATCAGCCTAAAAGGTGGATTCTACAAAACATGAAACAAGCACTTCCATTCCTTGGCATTGGCATCTATTCTAACAAGCGGCAAAACAATACCAAATTATCTACTTTTGACCCACCATTGGAATATTTTACTCAAAATGAGGTAATACATCAACAACAACAAAAGCCTTTAAGTCCCAAACAAGTTGGGACAGGCTAGAGTTGAAACCCAGCAGAAGCAATCAAGGTTCAGGCACGTGAATAGCTGTTTTCCAAGCACTCCTATCTAAGGCTAAGTCTTTGGGTATATTCCATCATTTCAAGTCTCCTTTTATTGCCTCTACCCAAGTCAACTTCGGTCTTCCTCTGCCTCTCTTCACGTTACTATCCTGGCTTAGGATTCCACTATGCACCGGTGCCTCTGGAGGTCTCGTTGGACATGTCCAAACTATCTCAACCGGTGTTGAGCAAGCTTTTCTTCAATTGGTGCTACCCCTAATTTATCACGTATATCATCGTTCCGAACTCGATCCCTTCTTGTATGGCCGCAAATCCAACGCAACATAAGCATTTCCGCGACACTTATCTGTTGAACATGTCGTCTTTTCGTAGGCCCACATTTTGCACCATACAACATAGCAGGTCTAATCGCCGTCCTATAAAACTTGCCTTTTAGCTTTTGTGGTACCCTTGTCACATAGGACACCAGATGATAGACGCCACTTCATCCACCCTGCTTTGATTCTATGGCTAACATCTTCATCAATATCCCCGTCTCTCTGTAGCATTGATCTTAAATATCGAAAGGTATCCTTCTTAGGCACTACTTGACCTTCCAAACTAATATCTTCCTCCTCCCGAGTAGTAGTGCCAAAGTCACATCTCATATACTCAGTTTTAGTTCTACGGAGTCTAAAACTTTTGGACTCCAAAGTCTCCCGTCATAACTCCAGTTTCTAATTCACTCCTATTCGGCTTTCATCAACTAGCACTACATCGTTCACGAAAAGCATACACCAAAGTATGTCCCCTTGTATGTCCCTTGTGACATCATCCATCATTAAGGCAAACAGATAAGGGCTCAAAGCGAACCCTTGATGTAGTCCTATCCTAATCGGAAAGTCATCCGTGTTTCCATCACTTGTTCGAACACTAGTCACAACATTGTTGTACATGTCATTAATGAGCCCGACGTACTTCGTTGGGACTTTATATTTGTCCAAAGCCCACCACATAACATTCCTTAGTATTTTATCATAAGCATTCTCCAAGTCAATAAAAACCATGTGTAGATCCTTCTTCTTCTCCCCATACCGCTCCATAACTTGTCTTATTAAGAAAATGGCTTCCATGGTTGACCTTCCGGGCATGAAACCAAATTGGTTCATAGAGACCCGCGTTATTGCTCTCAAGCGATGCTCGATAACTCTCACATAGCTTCATAGTATGGCTCATCAACTTAATTCCCCTGTAATTAGTACAACTTTGAATATCCCCTTTATTCTTGTAGATCTGTACTAATATACTTCTCCTCCACTCGTCAGGCATCTTGTTCAATCGAAAAATATGGTTGAACAGCTTGATTAGCCATACTATAACTATGTCCCCGAGGCATCTCCACACCTCGATTGGGATACTATCCGGTCCCATCGCCTTACCTCCTTTCATCCTTTTCAACGCCTCTAACATCAGATTCTTGGATTCTCCACACAAAACACCTATTGGTGTCATCAAAAGAGTCATCCAACTAAAAGGTTGTGTCCGTATTCTCACCATTGAATAATTTATCAAAATACTCTTGCCATCGATGTCGGATCTCATCCTCCTTCACCAAGAGATGCTCCCTTTCATCCTTAATGCACTTAACTTGGTTGAAGTCCCCTGTCTTTCTCTCACGAACCCTAGCCATCCTATAAATGTCCTTCTCTCCTTCCTCCGTACTCAAATGTTGGTAAAGATACTCGTACGCTCTACCTTTGCCACACTTACAGCTCGCTTTGAAGTCTTCTTTGCCACCTTGTGCTTCTCTATGTTGTCCACACTCCTGTCATGGTACAAGCGTCTATAGCATTCTTTCTTCTCCTTAATAGCCCTTTGGATTTCCTCGTTCCACCACCAAGTATCTTTAGCCTCGCCTCCACTTCCTTTGGTTACTCCACACACCTCTGAGGCCACCTTCCGAATGTTGGTTGCCATCTTCTCCCACATGTTGTTCATGTCATCTTCTTCCTTCCAAGAGCCCTCTTTAATAACTCTTTCCCTGAATACCTCTGACGTCTCCCCTTTTAGTTTCCACCACTTTGTTCTTTTAATCTTAACTTGTTTATCCCTACGGGCACGCACCTGAAAACGAAAGTCTGCCATCAAAAGCTTATGTTGAGAAACAACACATTCCCCTGATATCACCTTGCAACCCAAGCATGCTCGTTTGTCATTTCTTCTTGCGAGGACAAAGTCAATCTGGCTAGAGTATTGTCTGCTACTGAAGGTCACTAGATGAGATTCTCTCTTTCTAAAGAAAGTGTGGGCTATCATCAGATCAAAAGCTACCACAAAGTCCAGAACTTCCTCCCCCTCCTGATTCCTACTACCATACCCAAAACCTCCATGAACTGCCTCGAAACCTGCGCTTGTAGTACCTATATGCCCATTAAGATCTCCTCCTATAAAAAGCTTCTCACTACTAGGTACAACTCTAATTAGGCCATCTAAGTCTTCTCAGAACTGTTTCTTAGCACTCTCGTCGAGACCTACTTGGGGGGCATACGCACTAATTACGTTCTCCTTATCACCAACGACAAGCTTAACTAAGATAATCCTATCTCCTTGCCTTCTCACTCCCACCACACCATTCTTGAGGCTCTTATCAATCAAAACTCCTACTCCATTTCTATTCGCGACTGTCCCTGTGTATCAAAGCTTGAAACCTGTATTGTCCACCACCTTCGCCTTCTGACCCTTCCATTTAGTCTCTTGAAAGCATAATATATTTACACGTCTCCTAGTCGCGGTATCAACTAATTCTCTTAACTTACCTGTAAGCGACCCAACATTCCAACTACCTAAACGGATCCTAGTTGGTTCGACTAGCTTCTTTACCCTTCGCACCCGTCGACTCAGATGTGAAGACCCTTGCTCATTTTTCATTACACCCGAGCGCCGATGTAACGCGCCACTAAGGAAGCGACGACCCGATCCTTGCTCACTTGACACCATGCCCAGATCGCGACACGGCGCGTCACCAAGGGGGTGCTGACCTGGCCCTTGCCCATTTAACACCATACCTGGGTTCCGATATGGCGCGTCACTAAGAGGGTTATGCCCCAACGGTTTTCTTTCGGGTTTCATCTCCATTAGAATTGCTAGATTTAACGTTGGCTCGCCACGCCTATCACAACCCTCTTCCTTTACCAGGGCTTGGGACCTTCTATATTGAGGTAATTTGATTATATAGTTCATAAATAATACAAAGACCAAAAAAATCAATTTCATTGTTTTAAGATACCTATCAAGAAGCAGAGAGCTTTCACTGGTTTCGCAAAATGTATCTTGCAAGAAATAAAGCAGTAGGAAAATTAATGACATCAGTACCTGTAAATCTGATTCGACATATATGCTGTATATCCTATGGACGTCTTCAGCATTTTTGCTGTTAAATTCCTCCACGATGTTTTCAGCAAAATTGCGCAGAGGATCAGGTTCTGCACTGGTGTACTCCGATGGAACTACCCACATACCGTCCTGAATGGACAGAATAAATCACCAGGCAGCAGAATTGCATAGCTTAGCGAATCTTTAGTGCCAAACAATCCTAAGTGCTAAGAGGATAGAAAGTAAAGTGTGGAAGCATTTTATTTTTATTGCAGCATATTGGAGAGCGCGCCAGGCTCTTTGACTTGCATAATCTCCAAGGGTCAAGAGAACATTTGAGTAATCCATACTACTTATAAAGTTTCAATTTGGCAAATTAAGAAGATCATAACCAAGCATTGTTGTCGCTCATTCTACAAATATAAAATATTTATGATTCTAATCCCCTCTTTTAATCTTTTAATATAATAGTGCCAACGTAATATGCACTTACCATTGGTTAATTACAAGATAGTTATGATGTCGGCAAAATATTTTCAGGAATTGTTGTGTAAATAATAAATTGTGACAAATTCGGCCAAAAAAGCCCATTGTGCTAGGTGGGCCTAGGGCCTTCGGGTGGCTAACCAATCAGCAATAATTGAAACTCAGTCAATGGATAACTCAGTGCAATTTCTACCTTCTCATTATGTCCACGAGTGTTGGGAAATGAGAGCACATATAACTGTTGTAAATGAAGAAAATTAGGATTTGTTTCCTTCAGATTCAAACGGAAACCAAGTGATTTCATAGACAAATGATAAACAATCTACTCCAGTAGGAGTACTAGAATAAGACCTCTGAGTTTCACTTGTTTATGATACGAAAAACAAAAAAAACAATTTAAAGAGAATAAAAAAATTGAATAAAAGTGTATGTTCTACCTCATTGAAATCTTCCATGTGCAAGATCCGATCAACAGAAATTAAATACAAAAGATCTTGATCAATCTCTTCCCCAAATTTCTTTTGCCACCTAGTAGAAAGCTTCTGCATAACAAACAATACAAAGTATTGGTCCAACCATGCTCAAGTGCTTTGGTTAAAAACAAATAAAAACAAAACTACACTCAAGCATGGGAAGCAATGGTGGCTCAGAGCCTCAGAATGAGTCAAAGAAAAAATTATGGAAAAAGATAGTTCATTTACAATATAGTATATTAGGACATGCCATGGGTGCACTGTGGACACACTGCAATTATAGACAGTGGCTAATTGGCGTCATATGTCTGATGGAGGGCCCCGGAGAGGACCCGGCCCACCCAGGCCGGCATCGCAATAAGGCCTCAGGCGCCCGGGTGGGCCCAAAGCAGACCAGCGTGAACAGTACCCGCGGGTGCTGTTCACCTACGGTACTGTAGCCCCACCATCAGAGATTGATTAGATAGGAGTTTGGTTTGTTTAGGAAAGGAGGATTCATATCTATAAGGACTTCCCTCGTTATATTACTTAGGATACAAGTCTTCCCAGGACTATAAGTAGAGGGGCTATATAATCATTGGAATCAAGCAAGAACAGCCTAAGGGTTTCCCTATCCCTCTCCCTTCTCCCTCTGTTGCGCCTCCTCCTCTTCTCCCCCTGCGTCGTCCCCTCTTCCTCCCCTAAACCCTAGCCGCCACCACCATAGCCGCAGCCACCCCCAGCCCTAGCAGCCCCAGCCAAGCAACGTCTTACACTAATTCACAACAAAATTCATGTCTTTAGCAAAATGCAGCACGCTAATAATTTTACCTTCAGCACAGACTCATCACTAGGCTTAGTTAAGGCACCAAGCATAGTACATTGTGGTGTCCTAGCCCCACTCTGTTGAAACTGCAGCCACCAAAAAAGGAATGGTAAGCATATATATAAATAAAAGAACCACAATGCTACCAGTGAAGACACTTATTTCACACAAAAGAGAAGCATGAGAATTCAAATATTTTTGGCAAAGTAGTTCCATTATAACACTAATCAACCTTCTTAATGAAACATGTTTTGCAAAGTCAAACAGTAAATAAGTCGCAAAGTTCCATTCTTTGCATGATTTTCTTAACACCCTTACTATGTAATTTGTACATAAAAAAAATTACAAATAATGTAACAGTCAAGAACTTCAATCTAATTCCCACATCACATAGTTAGGCAAGCTTTTATCGATGTGGATTGCATACTGAAACCTGAAATGCAAGCTATTTCATACAACTCTAGAATCCGTGAGCATTTCGCATAGTCAGCTCAACACGGGACGCCAGATCAGAAGATGAAAAAGGAAAACTGAATCTTTCCCAGGCTTGACACTACCTTAGCACAGGAATTGTATCTTATAGAACCCCTAAAAACCCAAACTTTATGAGGAGCCGAGCAGCGTCCCCTCACCTCGACGTGGAAGCTGGACGGCGCATCGGGCGCGGCGACCCCCGCGGCAGCCAGGCAGAGAGCGGGCGCACCGGCTGCATCCGTGACGAAGCGCGCGCCGACGCCTAGAGGCCAGCCGTCGGGGCCCACCACGGAGAGCGTCCCAGACGCGGCAAGCTCCACGACCGTCCGCGCTACCTCCGCTGCCGACGGTCGCACCCGCGCCGCGGACACCGGTGCCGCTGCGGCCGCCGACGCCGCGGCTACCACCACCCGAACCCCGTGCCTCGCCGTCGCAGAGGAAACGGAGCGCAGGGAAGCCGGCTTCTTTGTGAAGAGGGTGGCGGGGGAGGGGAGCCGCGATGAGAGGAGGGAAGGCGAAGACGACGACGACATGGCCAAAAAATTGTAGGTTCAGATTTGGTAGGGGATCTTGAGGGGTCAGATTGTGAGTAGATAGGCGTCCAAACAGTCAACGGTCAAATGTGCCTTTTTTTAAAACAGCAAATATGCAATTTCATCGCTACCTGCATCGTCTTATCATTTACTAAAGCCCTATTTAAATTCATTAGCGGCTCCTAGTTAGCTATAGCTAAGAACACTTCTAACACAAAAACTAGAATAAGTGGGTGTTTAGATGTTTTTGGAATGGCAAAACTTTTGATCCTAATCTTTTGCTGCAAATATTTAGGTATTCAAACTTCACATCTTGGTGTTTAAATGCATGGCAAAAACTTTAGCACCGTACCAAACAAAGACTAATTTGCCCGTATTATCTTCTTCCTCTGCTCGTCCGTACGCCGAGCTCGTGCACATCGGCCGTGCGTGAGGGGCAAGCAGTGGCCTCACTGCCATGCCCTGCCCCTTCCCAGCAGCCAGCAGCTTCCCTGCCCCGGCGGACCGCCTCGCCGCCCTGCCCCGTTGCCTCGCGCGTGGCCGGCCACCGCGTCCTCTGCCGCCCTGGGAAGCCCTAGCTCGAGCTCGCCATGGCGGTCCATGCCTCGCCCAGCTCCGGCGCCGTGCCCCGCCTAGATCCGGCGGCCACGCTCCGTCGCGCTGCCCCTTTGCCTCGAGCGCGGCCCGCCACGGCGTCCTGCGCCGCCATGGGAAGCCCGAGCTCGAGCTCGCCGTGGCGGCTAGCGCCTCGCCCAGCTCCGGCGCCGCGCCCCGCCCAGATCCGGTGGTCGCACCCCACCCTACTCCGACGTCGCACCCCTGTAGGTCAGCCGCTCTAGCGCCCAAGAGACCACGCGCGCGAGACGAAGACCACGTGCGCGGGGGTAGTGGGCGTCCGGCTCCCGCCCCAACGCGTTTTTGCCCAGTTTTTTGCCTTTTGGGCCCCAAATGCCAAAAGTTTAGCAGCTCAGGTTTTGCTCTTTTTTGCCCATACTGTTTAGATCCATTTTGCCAAAAGATGATCTAAAACAGCAAAAGTTTTGGCAAAAGAGGGGAAATAAACATGGCCTAACTAGGAGAATACCCCGCGCGTTGCTGCGAGGATTCTATATAATTTAAAAAGATATTAGACTATTTATATTTATAGTTATATGAATAAAACTCTTAAATTAATTTTGGTGAATGGTTTGACACATCGATGTGGACAGTTAAATGCATGTTAGTGAATGAAGAGATAACTATCATAATTACATGTGCTAGTTGGCTATAATTGTAGGTTATGGTGGATTATTGATATGAATAGCTTGCATGTTAGAAATCTCTAGTAGGATTTAGCTTTATAAGAGTATAGGATAACTAGAATAATTTCTATATTCACTTATTAGAGTGCCAACTAAGCAAAATAGTAATATGACATTGGAATTAGAGAAGAGAAAGAAGGAAATAATTTCTTGATAATTTTTTTTTGTGAGACCCAGTTATAGACGCAGATGCTCACAAACACGAGCGCACACTCACCTCTAAGAACGCATGCACGCGCACCATACCCCTATGAGCACCTCCGAAGAACTGAGTTGGACCGGTAAATCTCGAGATTGACGAAGCCACCACAGGCGTCTTGCTGTCGATAGACACGTCGCCTACCACTACAATAATAGCGTCGTTAAATCTTAGAATAAATTCAGAAAAACGCGAGCACCCATATCAAAAAAAATTATGTCTACATAAGAAAAAAGACATGTGATTGAACACAATTTTTTTTAAACTAACTATTGAAAATATAGTTTATATATATAGTGCCTATACAATTTAATAGGCATTGAAACTACATATGATTTTTAGCATTGGGAGTGCCATAATAGCTCATAGTTGTTAATTGGTATTAGCTAACAATTAGCTAAATTATTAGTTAGTCTCATTTGGATTAGGTACTACTTCCTCCGTTTCAAATTATAAGTCGCTTTTGACTTTTCTGGTTTATCTATTTTACTATGTATCTAGACATAGTATTATATTTAGATGCATAGCAAAATAGATGTATAAAAAAATGTCAAAGCAACTTATAATTTAAAACGGAGGGAGTGATTATTATTAACTAACTATTAACTTCATGGATTCAAACAGGGTGTAAGATCTTCCAGATGGATCTAAGGTGATCTTGATTTTTTGCATGTTTGCACAAGATCTTCGATTTACATGTGACTATTTAAAACATGCTTTAAGCGGTAATTAAGCAACCTAGAGAGTGCCAGAGAGGAGATTTTTAAGAAAAGGAAAATAAAAAATTATTTAAATACGTATACATTTAGTGGCATATTCTCACAATGTTAGAGCATGGTTAATAATAGAGCCAAGTGCTTGTCTATAAGTTAAAGTTGTAAGAGCCAAGTTATACAATAATTCTTATATTTGTCTATAAAAAAGTTTTTTATTATTATATAGTACTATGTCTTACTTTCTTTTTTCTACTCCTCACATATACTCTTGTTTTGGCCCACAAATGTCTAAGCTTGTGTGCCGAGCTTGGTGCTTGCAGAGGAGCCAAGCTCTCTTCTCTTCTCCACATCAGCAAAAATGCTGACTAGTTTGGCTATAAGCCCATTATTGTACCTGCTCTTGTAGCAGACTAGGATTTCCAAAATAGAAATTCCGATCCTTTTGCACCTCTATGATAGTCCCAGGCTACCTCAGCTATCACGGACGTTCATATTATAGATGATTACAGAGTCATACAACATCAGAGTGCACAAATAAATATATTACAGTAATTTGGAGACATCTAACAACATACAAAACACCGATATTCTATCGTGGAAGCGAAGCTTGACGATCTCCCATCCAGAGGCATCCTTGAGTGTAGAACGAAATCAACTACTAATCTCCACATCACTGCAAGTCAAGAAAATCTGCACACCGCCAGATGTGTGCAAGCCATGGTCAACACCGATGAGCTTTAGTGGAAAATAGAAAATAAAGGGATCTGGCGATCCTAATAGTTTTGCTGTGGTTTGCATCACTAGCGCATGCAGAAAAGCATCAATAATAAGTAAAGTGTATATCATCTCTAATCCCAAACCACAATCTCATTCTCACCATCCACTCTCACCATCATAAATCATCACTCATCATCCCTCACAACACTCTCAATCTCTCGGTCTAGTCGATGAGGCAGCCTCCGCATGCCCCTCATCTAATCGGCCTCAAGCCGTACCTTAGCTTTAGGGGAAGAAAAGCAAAGCACAATAGAAGATGGTGAGCTAAACCCTGCACACAGGTGAGTGGTTATATCCAAGACCGTGGCTATACACATAGAATTTCCCCCACATGAACACCGTCGACGTATCACCTTGATGAACACCGCCACCGCAAACTAGGCCGACTACACCAGTCCTACCCACCAACCGGAGCGAAGATATATAGATGCCACTATATAAGCTGGGATCGTGTCGTTGAGGTAGCACGGAGTAACTTCTGCCCTCCTAACACTAATTGCACAGGGGCACAGACCGTGTGCCTACTATCTCCCACAGAGACTGATGGTCGCTTGCACTAGTTTGAGCAATGGGCCGCACCCATGTAAGCATGTGGTGTGCACGGAAATAACCCGTGATTTATGGCTGCAACCTACTCAGTCCTTAATTTGGCCAGAGCGAGCACCTTCCACCAATCCGTGTGCCCTCAGAGCACTAGATTCACCCCACAGAGGTGATCTATCCATCCCCAATTCCTCATCCCAATGTCCCTCGAGGACCGTCGTCCCTTCAAGACCCGTGTTCCCGCCATAGGAACCACACTAGGTGTACTCTGTACACCCCGACAATCCTCTCACTCTGGCCAGTATCTCCAAGAATTAGGTCAAGGGCAAGGAAGACCTCCAGAACTCCTCACATTGACACCGACCACTCGGGATTCACCGCTCCCATCGCGTATCAAACAACACCACATGGGGGTGCCTCACGGCAAAACCCCATCCACCATCCACATCATCCAAACATCCATCACACATCACATAACAAGGAATATATGTAATTATGATGGAGTAAAATGCAAGCAAGCAGACAAACATATATAAGTACGAGCGCAGAGCTGGGTAATCAGGGTTAAGTGGTTTCAATCAAGACAAGCAAGGCTCAGGCAATAGCATGCATCACATATTCTAGCAAGGAATAAATGTAAAGCGCTAACAGATCTACTTTGCAATGCCTAATAGGATTCTCTAAGTAAAAGGTGTTGCCATGACACCGGTGATGTTGAGGTAGTAGTGGTACAAGTCTCCATCAGTCGATGTAGTTGATCGGCGCGGACCTCCACCTTCAGGGTCAGCTCCACTCCCCGAGTCCTCCTCTAGAGCTAACGCACGTCCAACCGATAATCCTATAAGCTACAGATTATCACAAAAGAGCCAAAAGAACGAAGAAGAACCAAATTCACTCATACATGGCTGTGGACTTATGGCTTGACTAAAGCTTTGGTCACTTCAGGGTTCGATGGGAAGCTAGGGAACATGGTAGGTACAAGGTGGCTTCGAGTCTAGGCTAGGTGCCATGGTGAGACTAGGTTCGACATGGGCACATGGTTGATGGGCCCCCTTATGTTGGCGTCGGGTTCTCGGTGGCTACAGGGGTTGGACTGCCGAAGTTATGTCAAGCTAAAGTTTGGGTAAAAGCAAGGCGGTTAAGTGGAGGTATGTCTATGCCAAGGGCTAGGATTAGGTTGGTCCTCGTATTACCACACTCGAAAGCCGAGGTTGTTGCTCAAGCTACAGGTCATGCTTTTGTCGAGTCATGGTGGTGCATGTGTAGGTTGGTAGGGCATCATGTGCCCAATTGCCAGGTCGGCTAGGTTATTCGAGATCATAAGTGAGTACTCGGCTGCCGCACAGCAAGGGCATAGGGCTCGGTTGATAGGCAGCTAAGGGGGTGCTAGGGTTAAGCGCGTGTGCTGGCAACTGTGCTTTGTAATGGTAAAGCCCTTTGGCTCATCTCTGACACGTAGGGCTG